AGACGGGGCGCTGGGGCACCCGTTACTGTCCTCCCTCCTCCCCGGAATCTTCAGCTTTGTGCCCTCAGGAGAACATCAACTCGTTTAGGCCAGATGCCACCTTGGAATTCCCTTACGTTGTCGCCACCGAGTCAATGGGAGTCGTCTCCCAACAGCATCCGTTTGAGAAGAGATTGCTTTGCCAACCAGGCGGCAAAATTTTAACTTAAAAGACATGAATCGGTACCGCAGTAAATATTTTAAAAGGCCGAATGATGATAATCACTCAGTACTGTTAATAGTCCCTTTTCTCGTTCAGGTCCAGTCCCGAGGTGTTTGAATCCCGTATGGAAAAAAGACATGAAGTGAAAAAGCAGCCCCTGGGATATTCCAAGCAAGGAGAATTTATCAAATGTATGGAGGAAAAGGCAAGGCCAATTTTCTCTGTAATTAACGTTTTATAATGTCCTTTATATAGGACCAGCGTAATGCTACAAACATACAGTGCTCCTGTTAGTAAGGAGCCCTAGAACGTCACTTTCTGGTGGCTAAAAATATTGTTCTGTATTCCAGTGTATTATGTCGCTGGGTTTTAGGCTGTAAATTCCATGCTTTAGGCCTTATTTACCCAGATGAGTTTAGCCAGATGGAGTGACGTGATCTTGCGTTTATCATTTTGTCGTGAGTAAAAGCAAGCTGTTCGATAACACTGGATCCAAAATGCCTAGTGGTTTGCTTTAATCCTTTCTGATCTTGAAATTCATAGTTCATGTCAAGTTGCTCATCATCTAGTCTCCTAATCAATATTTTATTTTAATAAAATGAACTGCAGCAGTCTCTGAGTATCTTAAAGTTGAGCTTGCACTCAGGAGGTCTTGTCAGCAGGCGTGTTATGCATGACAGGGAGGGCAAATAAATGGTATTAAAGCATCTGCTATAAGAACTAAAGAATTATGTTTTCTTCTAGGGAGAAGGCTCGGGCACAAAGACATCAAAGGGAGGTTTCACAAAAGATAAGGTGAGGGAAACGAACCTAAGTGTTAGGAGAGGAGATGCTGGTAAATCAAGGGTGTAGATTAACTTGTATTGCTACCCTCGCTGCTTCAGCCAAGAGCTGCTTTGGCTAAAACTGATGCTCCTTATGCTGCACTTGAGCATAAGATACTTGTTTACTATTGGGATCACGTTCAGGTCTTAAAATTCCCGGCAGTCTGTTTGTTTTATTATCCGGTCCTTTCTCTCTTGACATCCTGGAATTTCCTGATGGTCAGGGGATCTGCACGGAATGCTGACAGTAGTAAGTTGAAAGGGTTAAGCTGCCTTTGCAGCATGTAAATGCATTTCCAAAGACCAGCCAGCAGAGGGACCAGAGGACGGGTTTGTTTTTTCACATTCTTGTGTTTTGGCAAACTTTCTGCGGAAATCTGCGTGTGTCTGAGATGGCTGAAGGGAAGAGGCTGCAGCTCTTCTTGCAGCTTCAATAGAGAGCTGCACAACTTAAGCAAAGTATGTTCTGTGTCCTGACAGAATCTCTTCTATTCTGCCTCTGCGGATCCACTTCTGTGTGTCACTGCTTATGATTTACTAGTTTCTTTGGCAGTTGGGAGGACTAAGTCACATTGTACATTGCATGAAGTTTTTCCAGCTTGATTTCGTTCTCTGTAACTGCATCCACTCCTTCTGGATTATCACTTAAATCTGAGAAGGGTCATCATGTCAAAATTCCATATACTTTCTCTTGCAGACACTTGAATCGATTCTTAACGTTGAGATGGTGAAAGAAAAATCAGCGGAGGAGATAAAACAGGTGATGGGTGTAAATAGAATAAAGTTTGCTCCACATCTCTACTTAGTAGTAATCTGCATGTGAGGATGGAGATTTTTACTTAGACTGAAAAATAAAACATGACTGTGTATTTACAATTAGCACGTTCACGCATGCGTATCAGTAGTAGATAAAAGTTTTGTCCACGTAGGTAAGTCCACCTAGGATGCACCTGCTTGTTAAAGAATACATCTGGACTTGGTCACTCAAAAACTGCCTCTGTTACAATTCTAATATGTAGCAATTGAAATGGAATCGGCAAGCTCCTGTCAGGTTTGGAGCCAGGGAAGGGGGAACCCCAGCAGTAGCATGTGGATCATGCTATGTCTGTTTTCCAGGAGCAAAACCAAAGGGTTTGCCATCTTCTATCTTGGCTTGGCGTTACCCATCGCCTAGGAGCCTGTACCCATACAAAGCTGGTTAGGGTGAGAAGGAGGTGGGTGGGTCTGAAGAACAGTGTGAATCGAGTTACTCTCCCCAGTAACTGCCTGGCTTTGGATTGTATTTCCTTTCATCTAGTTACAAGTCACAGTCTGTTCCACATTTCTGATGTAGCTTGAGTTGGATCTCCTATTTTGTTTCCTCATCGGACTGTATGTCAAGAAACTTCACGTAGGCATGGTCATTTAAGGGGAGCAGCACAACTTACAAGAGCAGAAACCTAGCTGCTTTCCTGATAGCTTGAGAACATTATGGAAGTGGTTATGTGCTCTGCAGGGGATGGATTTGATAACTCAGGAGTTTCCTTTGAGTTCCTCTTTGTGTTTCATTGTTTAAACGTTTTACTGATAATTCTCTGTGGTTTTGTAGGACTGGGGAAGAGAAACGGAAAGAGTCCTGGATTCCGGGCTTTTTCATGTAGTTGTCCGTTTATGGAGGACTTGGGGCTTTTATGTAGGTGTTGCTACCCAGTGGTGGTGAAGAAAAAGATTGTGAACACAGGGGAGCGTTACACAAAGTCTTGTCTTCTGTTGAAAACGTTTTCAATGTTCTTTATTAAAAAACAAACACACAGACACACTCAAACCCTCTAGAAATCATTAGCGTTATTGATGGTAAAAATGTAAGAAGCGCTTCCAAGGGCTAGTAAATCCTGAGCCACCTCTGAACAGCCCACTGCTTATTTCTGTTAGCTTGTTGAAACTGGTACAAGTGCTCTGGAAGGTTATTGCTTTAGCAGGAAAGTCAGGCTTGGTTGAAAAATGACTTCTCAGAGCGCTTAGGTTAGTTGAGAAATGGAATTCTTTTTAAAGCACTGCTAGATTTTAACTGTAGCTCATCTCCTTTGTTTCCTACAGATTTGGAATCAGTATTTTTCTGCAAAAGATACGGTTTATGCTGTTATTCCTGTAAGTAGTTCCCCTGTAGTTAACGTGCTTGAATGGCCGGTGTGCAAAGCTTGCCTTTCTATTGGCAATTCTGTTGCTTTTAAAAGCAATTGTTGAAAGAAAATGAGGTTTCAAGAACAAACTTTCCGGACTGGGAGGTCTTACTGCCCCAAATAAAGGCTTATGTTTCAAAAAATGTGTATCCCTTTTTTTCCTCACATCAGTCTCAGTGATGCTGGTACTTTTTTTCTGTACATCTAGCCTGAATTTCCAGGGTTTTTTTTTTAATGAGTAACACTCTTCACAATGCCCTAGTGTCTGTTGAAGTAGCATTTATATCTTCACTTCTTTTTTTCCTCAGAGTTGCTAGTTTCTTTCCCCTCTTCCCTGCAGCACGGACTGCCAACTCAAGTTCCATAGGACAGTGTGAGAACACTTGGCTAATAACTTGCACGTGGCTATTCACTTAGGACTTACTCTCTTACATCTACAATTGTTGGCAGCGCTGTGTTTCATTGCCATCGCGCGGCGCTTCCTGCGATAAGATCGTATTTCTTATTCCTGATAACTGTACCAGATGATAATTGTTGTTAATTTGCATTAGGCTGAAGGAGCAGTTGTTGCGTTTGGGGTTTCTTTTTATTCTTTGTTTGGAGTCTTTTTGTGATTGTGATCTCTTAAATCTGTCTTTTCACAGACCCATGTGTTCCTTGAGTTCTTGAAACCTCATTTAGATCTGGGCTCCGATTTGCAGTTGTACTTGTCCCTTCCAGCTGCAGCTGAAGTCGGTGGGAGGCTGTATTCTAAATGTATGAAGTGCTGTATGCTCTGAAAAAGGCAACGTGGGATTTGAAGTCAAGCAGCTCTGTGTTTGTTTTCCCAACATGTGGATGTTGTGAAAATAGCCTGAGTTGCACATTCACTGTAGCAGAGGGCCAGGGACTCCAGTTAGGATGGTGTAGGTCTTTCATTAGTGGGGCTGGCACTGTTCTTTGCACATAGAGGAGCTTTGGAAGCTTTTCAGGTTTAATGCAGACCAGATCCTAGGCACGTTAGGAAGCAGTTTGTGGTGTCATCAGGGAGAAAAAACCCCTGTGTTTTTTGCCAGAAGCTTTCTGTTGGCTGGAAGAAAGGCCTTGCATAATTCTCGAGTGCTCAAAAGCACACACGGAGGAACTTTTTGTTGATGAATGGCATGTGTTTTCTTTTGTGAACACCTTAGAGTAGCTGTTAATGTATGGTGATGGGAAGAGAAGAGCAGGCAAAAGATTTGGGGCAACGCAGAGGACACGCAAATGAGGTTGCCAGGTTTCATCAAGGATGACCAAATAAGCTTGTGGTTTTAATATAAACCTCAGCAATAAGTATGTTATTTGAGTAAATATCTAGGCTGCATTTTAATACTGAAGAATAGATGCCTGTGATATAAAATCTACAATTTGAGGCCAGGGATATGTCATCTTGCTCAACTGTTGACACCACATGATGCAGTGGAACTGTTACTGAAAAAGGACATAATGTAAGCCTGTAGTATGGGTCCCCCACTTCCAAGGAATAAAGCTTTTTTTGCTGCTGCATCTTAGAGCCAGCATTGTTAAAACAGGGCACCAAAGACATTTAGGTAATTAAGAACTCAATATAGTTTTCCATGCAGTCACTGTTAGCCGTTTCTGCAGTGAGACCTTCTGTAGATGGGAATTGTACCCTATGAAGGTTAATGAGAAGATTCTGAATAACTCTGCATCCTCGTCTGTGTTATGAAAATTGAATTTCTCTTTCTCCTTCCCCAAAGGCAGAAAAGTTTGATTTAATGTGGAAGAGAGCCCAGAAGTGTCCGTCGGTACGTATGGCAGAGACTTAGTGTGTAGCTGTAATGCATTTCTCCTCTCTGAATTCATTTGACCCTGCCGTATTCAGACTCATGGTATCAGCTCGATTAGTAAAATCCAGGTGTTCCAATCCAGGTTGTCTCAGTGTTCAGATAAAAGCAGCAGATACTCATATGTGTTAAGTTTGAGCCAGGTATCCAATATGTAGAAATGAGAGATTGGGTTTTGTAATGAGAGCGCAGAATCTCCGAGGGAATGGATTTAGCTACACGCCTCCGGTTCCCATTGATTGATGTCTTGTGGTTAAATCTCTTCCATGCAGTGTTGTGAAGAGCCAAGCCTTGTAGGCCGCTTAATTCATGTCCTTATTGTTTAAAGCACCCTGGCTTTAACCTGGAGGAATTGTTAGTTTGTAGCTATTGGCGCTACATTGTGTGTACACGGAGACAGTGAATTCCCCTGTTTCGCAGCTTTGTACCACGTGCTGCCGGGGTAGCATTGTTTTCTGGTGAAAGCAGTGTGTTTTTACAGTCATTTGTGCACTGAAATGTGGAATTTGTGCAGATCTCTCTGTGCTGAGACAGAAGTGAAATGCTTCACTCCTTTATGAAAAGGAAGTAGCTAGAATTCACTGCATTGAGTGCTTTTGTAGTTTTGAATGGGAAACTTGACTGGATTGGTCCTGTATATTTTGCTTTCCAAGAGCAAGATCAAATAGAGCTTGGAAAGTTATTTCTAGCTTTAAGTGCATTTCTGTACAGTGCGTTGGCATCTAGTCGGGTATCCAGCTTGTTTTTCTGCTCCCATGCTGTCCTTTTCCCTTTGGTGTGGGAAAATAAGTGAGTCCTTAGCCTATGGAGCTGAACAGACTGTAAGTCCCTAGAGAGACAATACTTGTTGCCTGTTCTGGAGCAGTTGGTGAAATTACAGGGCTAAAACTCCTGAACGCTTCTTATCTTATATTTGACCATTTCTGCTGTTAATTTTCTAAAAGTGAAAGGAAAGATCAGAATCTGAATGTTCTCCACTGTCCTGTCCTTTCCTTTGACTGTCTCTCCTCATACTGATAAAAATATGTGCTGGCATATTTGTTAATGAAATAGTTCTGATAAGGTAATGCTGGTTTATTGTCTGTTTGGAGATCTGGTTCCCGCTGTCCTATCACTCCCGGTAGGGCAAAGAAAACGCATTTTTCTGGTGTGCTTCTCTCGCTAAAGCAGTTTTGCTGGAGGCCAATATGACAATGGGCTTTACTTTGTTCCAAGAAAGGGAGAATTGTTTCTTTTTTCTCATTTCTCTGCAGTTTTTATATGCTTTGCCAAGAAAAGAAGGCTACGAGTTCTTTGTGGGGCAGTGGTCAGGAACAGAATTGCATTTCACTTCCCTAATAAACATTCAGGTGAGTGGTTGAAATAAATAGTCCAAAAATGGCTTAGGATGCAGAAATGTATCAGCATATTGCATTATATAATATTTTGTAAATAGTTAAAGGAACAGGTTGTCTAGCTTAACTTGAAAATAATTGTCAGGGAAAAACTGCCATTAATTATGGGTACTTAGTAAGTTTATGGGTATTATGTGTCTCTGATCTGAAGGACAATGAGGTAGGAGTCCAACAGTCTGAAAACAGAAGGAACCAAACTTTTTAGGAATGTTTGTGCAAGCTACTTAAAATACCAGTAGATGCTATGAGATAAAATGTCTGTTTGGAAATTGTGGGTTTGTTTAAATGCAAAATGGTCTTTAGTCAAGAAGAAGCTCAACCTAACTCTGCATATCCCTTGTTTTCTCTAAATACCCGGAAGAACGAACTTTTAAGTAGAACTGGCCCTTAAGCCTGGAAAAATGACTGCTTCCATAGCAGTTAACACTCAAAGTTTTGTAATCAAGTCTTCCGCTCTGCAATAGAGCTGAAATTCTTTATGGGATACTTATGGGGTATTCTTCTCCTTCAGACTCAAGGTGAAACTGCTCCTAGCCAGTTGGTCCTGTATCATTATCCTGAGCTGCAGGAGGAAAAAGGGATAGTGCTAATGACAGCAGAAATGGACTCAAAGTTTTTGGTAAGAGAAATCTATTTATTGGCTTTCTTCATTTTATGCTGTGACTCCTAGAGTTTTGAATTAAAACCAAAATAAAGGTCTTCAAAAGATCCTTTTGATCTTATTGGGTTTCTTTAACCTAATCTACTTAATACTAGGGAAATCTAGAGGGAAATCATCAGTCTTTAGCTGTCTGGTGATTTCAGCTCACTCATTCTCTTTTGGTTTTTCCTCCTTACTCTGGGTATTATAGTTTATTGTGGTAAAAAGAAATAGAAATGCTTCTGTTTTTCTTATTAATGGGAGCAAATTTAAATGAAAGCTGTTGGTACCTGTCAGCAAGTTAAAACAGTGAAGCTTGATGCTGCCTGTGAAATCAGGAGACCTCCAGAGCTTTGTCTTAGGTATCGGCGTGCCTTTGCTCTTTCCCCCGTGTAGGTGTGCTGTTATCTGCATATCTGTAACAGTGCTAGCACTAACAGCACCAGGGGTTATACCGGTGGAACAAGATAACTAAAGCATCCCACCTCTAACTGACCTACCCAACACCAGTTGCCAAACGATGCGCAGAGGAGTCCATGGTAACGCGTGTCTCAGGCAAACTCAGGGCAAACTACTAATTTTTGCAAATAGGTCAGCTGGAAGATGGGGAATACAAGACTTTGGTGCATCTCCACTGCTGTAGAGTGATCAGGGATTGGGAAAGACATCTTGGACCTCTTGAGGCTGATGCTCAACAGGAGAGTAGTTTGTAGGCACAGTGCTGCAGAGGGTCAGGAACAAGAGGGAGGTGGTTCGTTAAGACAAAGGTGTTCAGTCATTTGATGAGTGGGACCACAGCCTTTCAGCTGCTCCGGAGTCTTTCGTGGCAGGATACTCAGATACAGCAAAACCCAGGGGTAACAAATGCTTTGTTTTAACTCACAGGTGGTCCAGGAAGCACAGTGCTTGGCGAATCAGGTGCAGCTTTTTTATGCAACGGATCGTTCCGAGACCTACGAACTAGTGGAGACCTTCAACCACAGATCTAGTGAATTTAAATACATGTCAGTTATAGCAGAGCTTGAGCAAAGTGGACTTGGACGAGCACTGAGACCTGCTCAGGTTTCTGACAAGCCGTAGAAGGTGAAGAGAATCAGCAGCAGGCAGGGGTTCTTAGGTGGGGTGGTCTTGTCTCTTCTGCTTTATGAATTTGGTTTGGCTACAGAAAGGATCTGGAGTCATCCTGGGAGCGTGTCTGGCACTGGTGCAAGATGAGGACTTGGGCCATTTGAATGACAACAACTAATTGCCAAGATGGAGCTCTGTACTTGAGTGTAACTTCATCAGAAAGAGCCGTTTTCCCGTCCTGTAACTCACTGCTGCATGTTGTATTTTTGAAATCTGAAATAGCGACAGAAGGGGAGCTAGGTAATGGACTGCATGGACATCAGGAGAGGGATAACAATCCATGTTTCTTCTCAGTAAATGCATTTTAAATGCCCTCCACCATTGTAATTGCACGGTCCGGTGCTTCATCTCTGGAACCAGGAAAAGAGAACAGGGTCGATGGTGTAAACCAGACTCCTCTTTGTCACTTTGTGTGTGAGGTTCCTTGCACAGATATGTATTGTGGCCCATGTTTTTCTCAGGATTAAAAAGTAGAGTGACTAGATTTGTTCTGGGAATTTTGTGCTGCTTAATTGATACATTCATTTTACCCTGTTGCTATGTTTCTCTCTTAGAGATGTTTTTCTTGAGGAGCATGATATTGTAAACATGAGTTTATTTTTGCATAGTGTAGAGGAATTATTGCATGCTCTAGAGAAATAATTTTGTCTCAGACTGGCATCTAGTCAGCCAGCTCCACAAATGGTATTTGAAGGGACAGAAAATAGCTCTTGTTCCCATCTCGGGAAAGGCACTGTCCTTCATAAAAGCAAGATGGAATGGCACAGTCACAGAGCTGGAGCCACCAACTGGCTTCTCCATCTCCAAGTGACAACTCATGGAAAAATAGCATCGGTGTGAGCACAGCAGCTTTAACACGGCAGCGCTGGGAAGAATCCAGCTTTTGAGGATGACAGCTGGTTTGGTTTTTCAAACCTGCCTTCCACAAAAGCATCCCAAAGCGTTTGTGCTTTGAGCTTCCCTTGTTTTCACTCCCAGTAGAGGCAGCCAGCACGCCTGCGGACAAGAGAGAGTCGGAAAAGTGGGAAAACTCATGGGTTGAGATCAAAGCAGTGTAATTGGTAAAGCAAAAGCCACACACACAAGCAAAGCAAAACTGGGAATTCATTTCCCACCTCCCACGGGCTGGCAGGGGTTCAGCCACTCCAGGGAAGCAGAGCTCCATCATGCTAACGGTTACTTGGGAAGACAAGCGTCATCACTCCAAACATGCCTCCCTTTCTCCTCCTTCCCCCAGCTTTGCATGCTGAGCATGACACCGTATGGTCTGGAATACCCCTTTGGTCAGCTGGGGTCAGCTGTCCTTGCTCTGTCCCCTCCATGCTCCTTCTGCACCCCCAGCCCACTCGCTGGTTGGGGTGAGGAGCAGAAAAGGCCTTGACCCTGTGTCAGCACTGCTCAGCAACTACTAAAACATCCCAGTGTTATCCATGCTGTTTCCAGCACAAATCCAAAACACAGCCCCATGCCAGCTACTGTGGAGAAAATTAACTCTATCCCTGCTGAAACCAGCACAGCTGGTAACAGATTTCCTGTGCTACACTTAACTGTGACCTGATACGGAGGTTTGATTAGTTCGAAAGGGCTCTTAACGATCGGCTAGTGTAATTGTAGACCCTGATGCTGCAATCCTCACGGTCACTCCGTGCTTCCTCAGCCCATTCTTTGGACAGGAACAGCGTGTTCTGTGAAGCGCTAATGGTCAAGAGTGAGGTTGTAATTCTTGGGGTCTGTTTTAGCAGCGACTCGTGTACGTTGGGCGGACTTGCTCCCTGGCAATATCTTTTTGTTTCTGTTGCCCTGGGTCTGTGAGCGTGTGCGTTGCGGGGGGACAGTCAGAGGTGTGGGTAGGGGCTGTTACAACCTGAACAGCAAATCACCTTTATTAAAGAGCCTTTCTGCTTCTAGAGCGTTCCTGCTCTATTTGTCATTTTCCCTTCGCTGAAATGGGGCAGTTTGGATTCATTATTCAGTTCCTGCTTTGAAGAAGTCGAAGTTGCTGCATTCATTTTTGATGTAGCTATCATACGACGTCTCTGGGAGTGTAATGGGCAGCAGGAGTGAAATTCAAAGCTTCCAAATCTACACCTGAGCCTCTTCCTGAGCTTAAAAGACTCAAGTCTCTAGTAAAAGGCTGTAGCTGTCACCTGTAATTTTGAATCGTTTTTCTCAACCCATCATGATTAATCACAGGCTAAGGACTTCTCCAAGGGTTCAAGACAGACAGGAAAGGCAAAGTCAAGAGAAGAAATAATTTCTTGCATTGCATGCGGTGGGACGTTGGTTTTGGTAACACCCAAACGGGAACGTTGATCATGCCACCAGCAGTCAGGTTGCAAGAGACTGCGTTTTTTGGCTCTGGCAGAGGTGGAACGGGCAGATGGAGGGAACAAGGGCTGTTTACCGTAGCTCCTGTGCCTTGGAGCGCATGCTGTTTTCCTCCTTTGACCCGGGGGAGACCAGGTGGCACGGAAAGGACTGACTTGGTGTCAGTGAGCTGGTGCTGTTTGCGTCTGCCTGAGAAGCAAAGAGCTGGCTGGATTGCGAGTGTGAACAGCAGGGAGAGAGCGGAGGGCTCGGGAAGCTGAAAGTCACGCACCCTCCTGGGAGGAATTCCCAAATCTGCCGCCGAGGACAGTGTTCGCTGCAGCCACGGAGAGTGTTCCCGCTGTGTTTTCTCCAGGAAGCCGGTCAGACGGACTGTGCCACTGATGTGCTGCTGCACCTTGGTCACGGACAATGTTCTGTGGCTCGGCTGTAGGATGCAGGTTTGACCTAAGCTGAATTCTACGTGGAAAAGTGGAAACTCCTTTTGGAAATGTGTGGGCTAACGCGTGCGCTTGCACTACCGTTAGGACTTGAGCAGTGCAGTCAGATCTCTGCTGACTGCTGCTGTGGTAGAGATGAGGCTGAAACTGGGACAAAACCCCAAAAATAAGAAGGTGCAGGAGAAACTCTAGGCCTGATTGTCAGTCCCACAGAACGTTTGCTGTGCTGAAGAATTGGCCCCATAAACCCTCCTTGCTGCAGAAATAGGCCAGTGGTGTTCTGTGGCTGCTTTGCTGGTGCCCGGGATGCAGCATGTGTATGCAGCGTGCGTGAGCCGCGCTGCCGGCTGCCTGGTGTAGCCTCAGCATGTTTGCCAGATGTCTGAGGCACTTGGGATCCGTGCTGAGCCTAAGAGCCGGTGAAAATAAGACCCTTAGTCTTGGCGTGGGGTGAGAAGGTAACTGTGAGCGTTATGTGCTGTACAGCTGCTAGGGGGAAGGTCTGTTCTGAGCTACCAGCCCGCACACAGCGTGCAGGAGCCTGTCTGCTCAGCTGTGTGAGCTCAGGTGACCTTTGTGCTAAAAAACATTGTGGATGCCCCATCCCTGGAAGTGTTCAAGGCCAGGCTGGATGAGGCTTTGAGCAACCTGGTCTAGTGGAAGGTGTCCCTGCCCATGGCAGGGGGGTTGGAACCAGATGGTCTTTAAGGTCCCTTCCAACCCTAACCATTCTGTGATTCTGTGATTGATGTAGATGCCCCAGCAGCTCCTCTGTGGTTAATATAGCGTTGGGCTGCACTGAGTTAGACCAACAGCTCCCCTAGCCCAGAGTCCTAGATCCTGAATCCTAGATTAGCTGCCTGGGGAGGGCAAACATCCCACAACAGTTTTCCAGGTCACTACTGATTTCCAGCCGTTTGTGGGCCAGGGTCTTCCCGAGCTGGATGCATTGCTGCGTCTTTAGCTCTCCAGTGGCACATTGATGGAGGAGAAACCCAAGTCTCCCCCTGTAGGCTTCATCCCCTGTAAGCATCTTCTAGCCAGGACTTCACGGCTGAACCAGGCACTGCGGGAGCCACCTCCTTCACTCCCTGCTCCTTGTGGTCTGCCTCTGGCTGGTGGAGAGCCCAGGGCCAGGGATGTGGCAGCAGTTCCTGCTAGGAGAGGTGGAGCATGTTTTGCAGCCAGCAGCTCTTCCTTATCAAGGTCTCAAACCCCTGGCTTGCCCACCCACTCCTGTCGGGGAGATGTAGCGTCAGCATGAAGCCCAGAGCCCGTCCTGCTCCCTGGGGAGACACCCTGGCTTGTGAAAGGCAGCTGCCGCGGCAATCAGGGAAGTGTGGATTGAAGGATGATGTTCTTGGCCTCGTTTAAAATGCTGACTCCAGTGGTTTTTTATCTGTGCCTGATTTTTTTCCCCTGTGCAAGACTCCAGTCCCCTCTGATCAGGGCTGAGGAAGTTCCCACTCCCTGTCTCTGAGTTTGCACTGTGGCAAACTTCCCTGGGCCTTCCCTTTGTCTCTCTGGGAATAACCAGAGCAAACCCACTGCTCCCTTTTGCCATGTCCTGTGGTCTGCAGAGGCACATGGAGCCTTCAGACCCTGCCTGGGAACACACACCTCCGTGGTGGTCGGGTGCCGGGGTGCTGGCTGCCGGGGTGACGCTATCCCAGGCATTGCATGGCTGGGGGGAGCCCGGCCTGACACTGCAGCCGTTGGGGGGCTCACTGCACCCCCACCCACTGGCGCAGTGTGTCCTGCCAAGTTGTGCAAAGCCACATTGCTTTTGGGCCTCTTCCCATGACTGCCAAGGACTGAGGGAGCCAGCCAGCCCTCTGGACTTCCTTCCCTGCTTCCTTCCCCCATGATAAATTCAGCCATGCACCTGCCTGCAGGAGCAGGGCCAACCCCCCTCTTCCTTCCTCCGGGGCAGACAAATGCCCTCTTCACAATAACACATCCCTCCTGCCCCAGACCTGTCCCTCAGACCTTTTCCTCTCTCCCAAGTGACTCCTGCCCTCCCTCCCTGCAGGTGGGACCCTGTGTGGCTCTGGACCACAGCCGAGGAGCCCGTGGAAAACTTGGCGAGGTTTCCAGGACCTGAAGTGCGGTGTGAGGGGAGAACTGCGCGAGAGGCTGCTCCCCCCGTGGACTTGCAGGGCTGCAGCTGACTCAACCTCAGCCCCCGTGCTGTTTTACTGGCCCCTCTCCTCTGGCTCCAGTTCGCTGAGGGTTGGGAGGACCCCATCTTGCCTTGAAGTATTTTGGCTTCATCTTGCCTGGATGTAAATCCCAGCCATGAGTTCCCTCTGGGGTCTTTGCTATATGGCCAAGCCCCCTCAGTTTTGGATTTGTGCCTGTTTTTTGCTGGGGTTTCAGTTGAAACTTTCCTCCTGGCTTGGCATTAGCTGTCAGGGGTTACATCTGCTCTGCAGACCTCCTGCTCACAAGGT